AAGATGAGCTACTTACCAACCTCGACCTACTTGACGAGGTACGGGCCTAACAGCCTGAGAGGGGGGATACTTCATTTCCAGTTTCAAAAACAAAAAACCGGGCCTAACAGCCCGAGAGAGGGTCCATCAAGAGAAAGAAAAAAGGAGATACATAAAACCGAGTCCAAATGCCCGGGGACAACCATTCGGAAAATCCAACCAAAGAGAAAATAAGAGCAACTGGCCTCAAGGTTCCACCGCCTCGTCATCCTCCAGAGAGTCGGGCTCCTCCTCCTCTGCCATGTCCGCCGTCTCCGGGTCCAGGCCCTTCATCGTTACGCCTTCAAGGTTGAGCCCGGAGAACTTCTTCCAGACCAGCCACCAGCAGAGCTTGAAACCCGAACGGTAAGACCTCGAGCCATACTCGACCTAGAGGTCCTGGAACTTCGGGGATTCCTTGAAGTCCTCCACTGCCTTAGCCTGCTCTTGCTCCACCACGACGTCGAAGTTTCGGGTTCGATCACGTGGACTCCAAGCTCTGGACCTGCTGGCAAAGTAGCTCCCTCTCCATCGCCGCCCTCGAAGACTCCTCCTTGTAGCGGGCGCTCTCCTCAGACAGTCGGGAGATTCGTGCCTCCTGGTCCTTGACGAGGAGCTCCTGGGCCTCGCTCCCCTTCTGAGCTTGGAGGACCTTGTTTCGGGCCCGATTGAGCTCGCGTCGAAGCTTCCGCACTTCGATCTTCTGATTGACGGCGTCCCGGGAGTGGACAATAGACTGGCAAGCCATGGCGTGGATGGCGGAGTTCAGCTGCCAATAACAAAGCCGATATGAAAAAAAAGGAGAGGGAGAGAAGAGGGAATAGAAAAAGGCACTTACTACCATACAGTGGGACGAAGTCAGCCTGAAGAGCAGCTTGGAGTGCATCTCGGACCAATCCGCGATCTCCTCATTGGTGACCGCCTGTCGGATCCTTTGCGAGGCCACAAGAAAATTAGTGATGCTCTCTTTTCTCCCCTCGGTTGGGAACCGCAAGAAGATGGTGGGATCACGCCGTGTGGACGGGGCGGACTCCTCAGGAGGGGGAACTTCTTCCTCGCCGCCCTCCACGGCTACCCCCTCGAACTGCATGGGTGGGACCTCTGGCGGCGAAACAAAGGTTGGGTCCACAACAGCCTCGAACTCAGCACCCCCAGAAGAGGACGCTCGGTCAGGGCGCGACCTCTTCACCCTGCGCTTCTGGTTGCTCGACAGAAGGCGGCGTGCATCTACACCCGACATGGCTGCAAAAGACTGCAAGTATTAGTCCAGCTCGCAAAAAAAAAAAAAGAAGAAAAAGAAAAGAAGGGAAAGGCGACCTAAAGGTAACCTACCAGGGCTCAGACCAGCCTGCGCGAGCTTCTCCTCGATCAAATAATCGGAGTAGAGGAGGCCAACTCTCTCCCAGGACTACAGCGTTTCTCGAACCTTCCGGTCCAAAGTAACACCCAGATCCTGAATGACCCCCCTTCAGTGAGTTAGGAAGGGCCACCCCTCGGGGTTGCGAACCACGAAGTAACCCCGCTTCCAGGCGGGGATCTTGTTTGGCAGCTCATGCAAGAGCTTAAAGCCTGGGCGGGGGGAAAAATAGTAAGAACGCCTTTCTGGAGGAGCTCCGGGGGAGGCATTCTTAATAGACAGGATARAAGCAAAAATATCTAGAGAGAGGGGATGACAGTACTCAAAACACAAAGAGATTGTCCCAACCACGTTCCGTATCGCGTTGGGGTAAAGCTGGTCTATAGTGACATTAAAGTGGGAAAGAATCTCCACTACCAGAGGATGAAGAGGGAACCGGAGGCCGGCCACAAGCTGCTCTTCAAAGATCACGATTTCGTCGTGATCATGCTCCCAGGGATAGTCGTCGGAGGGAAGACTGTAGATAAGATCCTCGGGGAGGTTAAAGTAAGAAACTAAAGCCTGGAGCCTTTCCATCGTCATGGTGGAAGGGCCAAAGGTGTCCAGTTCCCGCCCTCGGGAAGTAGAAGCCTGATTCTCAGAGGCTTCTCGAGCCTCCACGGATTGACCCTTAGTGAGCCCCCAAGCTCCCCTTGAGCTTAAAGGGACATCATCTTGATTATTGTCCCGGGGGAAGACACTGCGGTGTGGGTACCTAGACATGGTTGATGGAACAGAAGACTCACCAAGAATAAACTAAAACCGGAAGAACAGTGTGAGCAAAAGAAGAGCTCGAGCAACTAGACAAAGGCGCGACCTCAAATCCGAAAGTAGGGCAAGTTGGCGTAAAAGAAATTAGGCCTGGGCCCCCCCTCTATTTATAGCCTCAGTGCCCGAAAGCCAACGGCTCAGATTAAGGAAAATCCAATGGTTCGCAATCAATCTGGCTGCACGTCTTCCAGGTTTGAAGTAATGCCGGCTGCACGTCTTCCAAGTCTGAAGTAATGCCGACTGCACGTCTTCCAAAACTGAAAGCCGCTTGGCACGCCTTTTGGCGCCCAAGAAATCCAGAAATCGCCTGACATCCGCTCCTGTATTTAATGCAGTCAGCCAACCCAGTTTGAATTACGGGTCAAATCAACTTGTCGCTTCATGAACTCCCCGCGCTAGAGTAAGACCCTTAGCCCGAGGAGTGGGGGGCAATTGATGGAGGGTGATTTGACCCGACCTCTTGAGTAGACGATACGTGGACTTGATTCGACATAAGTGACAGCACAACGCGACAGCCTGGCTACTCGGTGCAGCGAGCTCGCTAAAGCCCTCGCGGGCCAGCTCGCTACATGACAACTCGTTACGGAACAAGCTCACTATGGCGCGAGCTCGAACACGTCGGTATGACAAAGGGGACACTCCAAGCTAAGTCTATCCCAACTCGCGAGCTAGGACAATCAGCTCGTTCCAATCCTTAGGCAAAAGGGCCGTCTCGAAGACCTCAAACGGAATCACCTCGGGACGCCTCTTGTAGCTCGCTACAAGGTAGCTCGCTATGGGATAGCTCGCTACAAGGCAGCTCACTATTAAGCGACGCGACGTTTTCAGGAAGCTTCTTATCCGACAAGACTGTACCCGCCAGACTGCACCCACGTCTCCTGACTGATGGCGCAGTCTCTGCCAGCGCCCGCGGCCTGCGCTCACGTCTCTCGACAGGTGGCGGCGTGTCTGTCCTTTTCGGGTTGTGCCTTTCACTTTATTGGGTAGTACCCTGCAACGGTTACCTGCGCAGCCCTGGCGAATAACGGCTGCGACAGAGGGCTAGAGACGGTTACATCCGATTTGATAGGGCATCATTATTAAAAGGACCCCGACCCCCAAGGAGCAAAGGTACCTGTGTCGTCTGCACTCTTAGCTCTCTCTTTGCATTTTCTACAATTCTCTCAGTTCTCTCAGAGTTTTAACTTAACCATCGGAGTCTTCCCGCCCGGTGAGCTCCCCGGGAATTCTTCACCTCCCTCTTCTTCGCAGGTACCGTCCGTTGCTAGTTAGGAGCCAGGTCTCCGCTAGCTAGGAGTGTCCGGATCACGCAACATCAGCCACCACTGCCAGAAAAGTTGTATTCTCTACAAACAAATTTTTACTGATTTTTATAATGAAAAAAATGATACAAGATATTATATTTGAGGAAGATTGAGAAATTGCAATTTGTATACGAGATTTTTTTACACAATTTTTATGATGCAATTAATGAATTTTCGGGTGTTTATTATCCAACTAGTTGTCTTTTAGTTAATCAATTATTCGCGATTAGTGAATGCTTTACAAAATATAGAAAAATCCACAATTTACAAGAATTGTTGAAATAATGTAAAATAAATTTAAAATATTAGGAGAACATTTCTCCTCTTTATTGCTTAGCTTCAATATTAGATATTCTGATTAGAAAAGATGGTGTACATGTTTTACTTGAATCATATTGTAAAAATATGAATATTGAAGTTGGAAATAAAAAAATAATAATTTATTGTTTGAAATGCATATCTTATATGAATCTCAAATGGTAGAGCATAAAAATCTACTTGTACATGTGCAACTTCTACTTTTGAAACAACTAGTTCTAATATTGCAAAAGATAAAGTTTGGTTTTTAATAAGAGATAGAAATCTACTACCACATTATCAACAAGTTGATTTTTTATTGAACTTAATTTTTATTTACAAACAAATTTTCTAGTTTAAGTGATTCGTTTGACTCGGAATGAATAAACATATTTTTATATTTTAGCTTGGTGGATTGGACATGAAAATAATTAGCTTGTTTTTGTGCATGTAGTAGGGTGCTAGATGACAAGAGAAGCTGCATGAATGATGAAATTTTAAAGATGTGCATCTACTTCAAACATTGATCRGATTGTGAGGATGGATTACAGGACAAAGGAGGACATAACARTACACTTGATAATTCACCTAACGCAAATGATCAAAATCAAGATGAAGGTGGAGGTGGAACTTGAAAAAAAGATATAGACAATATATTTTTTTGTATACTCAATAATTTTCTAGCATTTTTTTAAATTATTGTAAATTTTGTTATTCAATTTTATTAAAATTATTTGTTATTTTTTTTAACAATGTAATTTTTTATTTTCAATTTGTAATTATATTATATTTTTTATATTTTGTTAAGTATTTTTTGACCATTGTATTGTTCAAATTTCAAATTTAAATAAAATAAAATTTATATATTTTTCAATTCATTTTTCATTTTGTATTTTGTTAAATATTTTTTTCATTTCTTTAATAAAGTTTTTATTTTTCAATTTATTCTCGAAGGAGAATTAAATATTTTAATTTCACAGTGAAAAAAAAAAAAAAACAGTTTGGCCGATTTGGCCCAAACCCAGTCCGGTATGACCTAGTCTCACAGTACGGTTTGGCTCTGCCCGCGTTCCGACACGTGCCTGAAAACGACCTATATCACATCCTAACCGTGTATTGGGAATATCTTGGACGCTGAGATGCGCATGTAGGGTGTTTTTGGGCGCGCTCTTTGGGGCGCAATGTGAGCTCGCATCGCATCGATATCCTGAAGCTTGCACCGAAGCCGACACGGCCAAAATCAACCCTGAAACCGACTTTGAGGTTCTGTAACATATCACAAAATGAGGCAGTTCTTATCGTCTCAACCGAGCTGCAGCCTTCAAACGGTCACAACGCCATCGTCTCCGTCGTCGTTTCCGGCGAATGTATGTCATCCTATCACTTTCTCTCTCTTTATTGTTCTCTTTTTCTTAATTATTTTACTCCCTTGAAATTGAAAACAACAGCTGACATGAATTTAAGAGATGCGAAAAAAGTAGCAGCGACTTTTTCAATATGTCTAAGTAATTTTATCGGATATGTTCGAAGAGACATATATCCTGAAGTAATTAACTCTTAGGTTTCTTTCTCTTTCCCTCGTCGATAAGGTGAAGCAGAGCGAAGAATCGGCCCTTGTCCACTCCCATAATTTCCTTCATAGAAGTCCATAAGAAGGCTTGTAAATCTTGCAAAAGCTTTGATTGCCTCTACACTTCATGGATTTTAATATTTGATTCTTCTTCTTTTAGGAACCTTCCAGATGGATGCGTTTATAGTTAAGTCTTGTGCCTTTCATTGCAATTTGTTTCTTTCATGATGGAATTAATGCGATCGAAGAAAACTTAGATGCTGTATTTCTGTCTTTCACCTGCAACCAATTGTTATTCTAAAGACAAATTGGGTTTTTTCTGGGAAATTTATTCTGGGCTCATGGATATTCTGATTTCATATTAGTTTATAGTCTTTTTTTTTGTGCAATTTGTAGCGTGAAAACTTAAAAGGGTGTGGCTCTTAAAAGGATGGAATGGGAGTTTCTTTATATCTGTTCTGCCAATATATGTGAGAATTCTTAATCTTAATCACATCATTTCCTCTTCTTGGGTTTTGTTGATGTTTGTTTTTGGAATCTTATTATTTTAATTTTAATGAACAATAGGCTGAAAGGTGGTGAAGGATTTTAATATTTCACCGTACATAGCAATTCTTTTGTAACGTTGTTATTATCTTCCACTCGATTTTCTCTCGCAATATTTGGCTACAGGGCCAAAAATAGATAAAAACGGTTGATCATTTGAATTTTTTTCACTATCAGTCCTTTGGTTGATTCCAAAGATTCCTAGGGTTATTGGAATTCTAAAAGGAGTGTGATTTCTATTCTCATTATGTTAAGAGTATATACTGCATTTGTTTCGTATCCTTGCTCAACAAGAATGGCGTGAGGAAAGCTTGTTGATGTTGCAGTAAAATAACTAATCTTCTGAACAATTATTATTTCATTGTTTATCTGGTTTGCTTATCTAGAGAAATTATTATTTAATGTGATTACAATTTTAATGTAGAGAACTTGATATTTTTCAGGTTAACTTTGCTATTCCCAGCGATGTCTTCATTGACTTCATCAACAACAATAATTACTGCCTTGGCTATACCAGTCCAGAAGAATCTTTCTGCTTCAGATAATAGACCCCTAAGCACATGGATTTCTGTTTCCCTTTACTATTCATGTAAGGATATATTGGTAATACTTGTTTGGAAATGTGTTAGTTTTCAAAAAGGGAAAATTACTCAAATGTCCCCTATACTGTTTGAAAGAAAATGAAACTTCCTTGTTTTTCAAAAACAGGGTTATACACTCCCTATCATAGAATTTCTACTAAATTACATGTGAAAGTATGTGATGACTAGAAAAACACCTTTTTCTTATAGGTTCTGAAAGTATCTATCGTCACATCTAGGATCCAAGTATCCGATTGCTGCCTATCTTCAAACAGAAACAAGGTCAAACCTCCGAGGATCAATTTTTCTTCATAGGAAATTGTCCTTTCCTTGTTAAAACTGATCTCTGACCCTTTCTCTACACTGATTTTTTTTGTTGAAATCGATACTCCTTTTATAGTTTGTATGGATTTTCTATATTTTCAGTAACAAAGGCTCCAATAATTAATGCTTTTTACACATAGGCAAGATAAGGACATTTTGTCTCTTAAAACCTAAGCTTGCAAATACAAAGTACTTTTTTATTTATCAAAATTTCTAAAACTAACATGATGGGATTCTTTTAGCCCATGTGATGGATGGCTAACAGAAGGAGGTTAATGCTAAACAAACATACATGATAGGGGATGTTTATGCCTAGTTTTGAAGAGAAGGGAAGTTTCAATGTGTTTCAAAGGAAACAAATTTGTAATGGTCTATTACCTTTTAAATTTCCTTTTATTGGTTCTTGTGCACTAGTAATGGTCTATCAACTTTTAAAGGAAACAAAAACAAAGACCTTTTTTAAGTATGCGAGATAAGGTTAAATGAATGTTCCCTTTGGCTGCGTTTGGAAACGATGCAAATAAGTGTGAATGCAAATATGTAGAGTGTAAAACGGTTCATATAAATTGCAAAGTTGGGTTAGTTTTGTACTGACAAATTTACCTTCTTACCAAACAGACTTTTAGCTGTAATGGATGCAAACACGAATTCCAATAAAGCATATGCATTTTTTTTGTCAAAGCCCACTTGAATGCAAATTTACTTCTTTTTTATTAATGTACTTTTACATCTTATTATCAATGTAAATATGCATTGGAAAATGTGTTTTCTGTCATTTGTCAATGCATAAATGTAATGTTGCCAAATACAGGCAAAAGTGAACCAGAGTGCAAATTACCCTGAACCGGGATTTATACACCATTTGCATTGTTCCAAATGCAGCCTTTGAAATAAATAGGTCTGTGTTTATGGTTAGCAATATTATTAACATATTTAATTTAACCTGATTTTAAATGCATATTGTTTTCTGCAGTACTTAACTGTTATGTCATACTCTTATGTTTATCGAATTTGGTCCTAAATAATCTGAGTTCTCTTCTATATTGTGATGGTTTCTGAATGCAGGCAAAATAAGAAATAAGTGCAATGGGAGGATTCAACTTATTGGATCTGATCAAATAATGCCGAGGGTATGTTCAAGACCATTTCAAATTAGAACTCCCATCACACATACTAGTCAGAAGCAAAGTGCTGCAGTAGTTTGTTCTGCTGCTTTGGTAAGTTGTTTGTTCATTAATTTTGACTCATCTGCTTCATGCATTTCTGCATGCTAGATTTCCAGTTTTGATCAATGCAAGATTTTGAAGTCTGCTTTTGTTGACTTTTGACTTTCCTGCACCTTTTTTCCCAAGCTTTCTTTTGATTTCTAAACGAGTATTGTAATGTAATAGACCTATGGTCTTCTGCCAAGGCTTTAGACCCTCTTCAAAATAGCTATCTTGGAACTATTTCTTTTGGGGTTCTTTCTCAAAAGAAATAACTTCTCTAGCAGCTTCTTCACCAATCTTTGTTCTAGCAAGTGCTGTGAAGGTGATGTTTCATCAGAAAACAACATCATGTATATCATCATCATCATCTAGGCTTTGTTTCAACTATATGGGATTGGCCACATCATTCATGTTTTGCATTCCATTCTGTTCTATGCCATATTTAATTGTAAATTATGAGGCCCATCTCATTTCTTACTACTTCAACTCATGTCCGTTTTGGTCTGCCCTTAACTCTTCTAACCCCTTAAACTTGTCACAGATTACTTCTTTTTACAAGTTCTGTATTCTGTGCATATGACAAAACCATTATAGTCTACTTTCCCTCATTTTATTACTTATTACCAATTAGGGATACAAATGAGCTCATTTCTAACCTTGTCTTTTCTGGTTTTCCCACTCATCCATCTCAACATTTACATTTCTATCACTCATATTTTTGGATATGTTGTTTCCTAACTGCCCAACACTCTACTCCAAACCATAGTTGTCAAGGCGATGCCATAGTTTTCAAGGCGCCAAGGCAAGGCTGGGCGTTAGGGGCGCCTTGTCGCCTAGTCGCCTAGGCGATGGATTTTTTTATATAGAAAACATAGATCCTAGGGTAGTTCCCTAGGTACCATAGCCATATTTCCTTAATAATTATTCATAATTTTCATATGAAAAGTATAGAGTTCATGTTAAAGTATAGAAAATGTGTTGATTAGACAAAATTTTAAGTTCTTCCTTACTTATTGGTTCAGGTTTTAAAGTCTTTGAGGGTTTAATACAGCATTTAGCAATGTTTGTATTGATTAAATCCTAACAAATAAGAAAATAATAAAAACAAGTTACTATATAAACACATAAAATGAATATTTTAGTTTAATAGTGCCTATTTTATAATTATAATGTCAAAAAATAAAGAGTAAAAAAGTATTTTACAATACATAGTACAAAACTGCTTGGCAATAGGCGAGGCGAGCCTCCAAGGGCGCCTTGTCGCCTAGGCGTCGCCTTGACACTATGGGCGACGCTTAGGTGACAAGGCGCCCTTGGAGGCTCGCCTTGCCCAATCGCCAAGCAGTTCTGTGCACTGGGTTATAAAATACTTTTATATTTTAAAATTTTTGACATTATAATTATAAAATAGACATTATTAAACTAAAATATTCATTTTATGCGTTTATATACTAATTTCTTTTTACTATTTTCTTATTTTGTTAGGGTTTAATCAACACAAACATTGTTAACTGCTGTATTGAACCCATGGTTCAAAGTATCGATACGCCTCYGTGTATTGGCAGAGGTGTATGGGTACTTATAATGATACTCCCCCTATTTTTCTTTTTTGTTTCTTTGGTTTTCAATTTCATTTTTAAATATATATGCATATATATTATTTAAAAAAATTGGTCCCCGAAAACACCTGTAAACAGGTATCGGGACCCCAAAGATACAATACAATACACCCGATATGGGCGTATTATATCGAAATTTTGATCCTTGATTGAACCCTCAAAAATTTCAAAACCTGAACCAATAAGCAAGGGAGGAACTTAAAATTTTGTCTAATCAACACATTTTCTTCTTCTTCCACCTTTTCTTTTCTTCTTTCCTATAAGAAAAGTAGGGGTTCAGCCCCTATATTTTTTTTGAATTTTCTTTCCTTTATTCTTTTTCTTCTCATAAAATGTTGATTTTCTAGACTTAAACATGAAATTTATACTTCTCTTATGAAAATTATGAATAAGGGTGCCTAGGCGACTAGGCCTCGCCTTGGCGCCTTGAAAACTATACTCCAAATGATATTACTGCCATTACAACTGTTTTATAAAATTTTCCTTTTAGTCTAAGTGGTAGTTGCCTACCTCATAGGACTCCAGATGCACCATTCATTTTTCCCATGCTGCTGTAATTCTATAGGTGATATCTGCCTAAATCTCTCCCTTGTTATGAATTTTCAAATCAAGGTAATGTAAGATATCACATTTAAGGACCCCCCAAAAAAATTTACATTCAAAAACATTATGAGAAGTCATCCAGGACTGAAACATGTGAGAGTAGAAAGCAATGCTCTCAACATGTCAACTGCAGAATTGATAACCACCTCCTCCGGATTTGATTTTTGCTAAAATATTCTCATATTCCTTTCAGACCAGATTGCCCACAACACTGCTAGGGGAACCACATCGCAGCAAGCTCTCCCTTTCCTGGACATTCCTTGCACCCTCCACCCGGTTAATAGGGCCTTCAGAGAGTCCGGAAAGCACCCAACAGATGGAACAGAACTGCTGAAATGATTCCAGATTTTAGAAGAACTACAGAATAGGAAAAGGTGCTTCACAGATTCCCTGTGTGCATTGCAGAAGGAGCTATCCACGTTTGCTAGATTGGCTCCTTTTGTGACCAGCAAATCCTTTTTTGAGGGAGCTGCATTTGCCCAAATTGCTTTATAAGGAAATGAACTATTTTGCTCACCCAACAAACCAGAATAAAAGGATCTGACTGAGAAAACCCCTGACTTGGACAATCTCCACTGCCTTAAATCTTGGCTATTCACATTGACTTGCTGGTTTCACAATAGTGACATGAAATCAACTTCTGTTTGCACTTCTCAGTCAAAAAAGTTTCTTCTAAGAGTAAGATTCCAAATACCCTAAGTTCCATTATCTTGAAAGCATTCTGTCACAGTAGCTTATTTGTTGCCAGCCAAAAATAAACAGATAAATGAACTTTTCCTTCAAAGTCAGATCATCACACCAAGGGTCAGAGTTCGACCAGAATTGTATTCTAGACCCATTGCCCAAAATGAACTTTATTCCTCTTGAGAAGGCAGATAAAGCCGTAGTTTTCAAGGTGCCAAGATGAGGCTAGGCGACAGGGGGGTGCCTTGTCGCCTAGTCGCTTATGCACCTGCCTAGGCAATGGATTTTTTTATGTAAAAAACATGGATCCTAGGGTAGTTCTCTGGGTACCATACCCATATTTCCTTAATAATTATGCATGATTTTCATAAGAAGAGTTAAAGTTCATGTTAAAGTATAGGAAATCAACATATTCATGAGAAGAAAAAGAAGGAAAAGAAAATTCAAAAAAATATAGGGGCTGAGCCCTATTTTTGTTATAGGAAACAAAGAAAAGAAAAAGTAGTAGTAGCAGAAGAAGAAGAATATATGGAAGAAGAAAATGTGTTGATTAGACAAAATTTTAAGTTCTTTACTTACTGGTTCAGGTTTTGAAGTCTTTGAGGGTTCAATACAGCATTTAGCAATGTTTGTGTTGATTAAACCCTAACAAATAAGAAAATAATAAAAAGAAATTAGTATATAAACACACAAAATGAACATTTTAGTTTAGTAATGTTTATTTTATAATTATAATCTCAAAAAATCAAGGTTTAAAAAAGTAATTTTTAATAGAAAGTACAAAACTGCTTGGTGATTAGGCGAGGCGAGCCTCAAAGGGCGCCTTGCTGCCTAGTCGTCGCCTTGACAGCTATGAAAGCTTTACAGATTCCCCTCCACACTTCACAACCATAAGACATATTGGAATCCCTTGTTCCCATCCATTATCACTTGAGCCATATTTCTCCACTATTAGCTCCCTCCACAACTCATTGGGATTTGAGCGAAATCTCCAAAACCATCTGCCAAAAGAGCATGGTTGAAACTCTTGACTTTTCTTATTCCAAGCCCACCACTAGTGATTGGCCTGCAAATGTGATCCCATCTCAACAAATGATATTTCTCTGTCTTTATTTTTTTGAAGGATAGAAGAAAAAATTTATTAAAAAGAAAAAAAATTACAAGGCATTGGATGTCAAGGAGACATCCCAGATTGAGTTACAGCTAGACAATCTGAAAATTTTCTTCATTACATGGTTGTAATATACCCCAAAAAAAATCTCTATCAAACCCTCCCTTCTAACTTGATCAAACTCCAGCAGAACCAGCACCCAGTCTCAAACCAATGAACCCACAGCAGAAACTATTAGTTCCAAACTTTTTGCTTTGTTTTCGAATGCTCTTCTATCCCTTTCAGCTCACAGTGACCAGCAAACTGCAAAAGGAATACAGCTCCACATAATTCTGGTTTTCTTGCTACCACTAATTTTTGGCCATCTAGAGAAAATCTCAGCAGGAGATGATGGCTGGAAGACAGACTTTCCAAAATGGAAGGAGTAGAAATTCCAGATGAAATTTTCCACTTGCAAGAATAGAACAGATGGAACACTGTCTCTTCATCCATTTTGCACAAATAGCAGAAATTTGGAAGGAAAAAGCCTCTTTTCTTCAAGTGATCTGTGGTTAGAATGCTGTCGAGGGAAACCAACCAAACAAATGCCTCCACTCTTGGCGGCACTGGGGATCCCCACACTCATTTCAAGCTAGCAGAAACCTGATTGTCTCTTACCAAAGCCGAGTAAAAAGGATTTCACAGAAAACCTGCCATCCTTGCAGTCTTTCCACCAAAGACCATCCTCTGAAGTTGGAGAGACATTGAACTGTTCTAGTTTGTTCAACAGTTGAATGCACTCTTCCACTTCTTGTTCGTGCAGGGGTCTTCTGAACCTTGGGCTCCATACTAGTTGCTCCCCCCTCAATTCATAGCACTGATCAATAATGACGTGATGTTCAGTCAGTCTATAATCTTGGACAGATTTCACAAAATTCCCCCACTTCAGTCCATTCGCCCTCCCAGAATCTTATCCTTGAACCTTTTCCAACTTTGAACTTTGTCAGATCCCTGAAATTCTGGTTGAATCTCATAATACCCTTCCATACACTAACCCCACAAGTCCTTGAAACTTCTCTCGTCTCCCACCCAAACCTCGCCACCCCATATTTCCCAACCACCACCCTCCTCCACAGTGCTTCCTTATCTCTTTCCTGCCCAAACCTCCACAGCCATTTTCCTAATAAAGCTTTATTAAAAGTTCTAATTCTTCTTATCCCCAAACCTCTCCTTTCCTTATGCCTACACACTTTATCCCAGCTTACCAGATCGAACTTCTTGGCCCTTCCCACCCCTTGCCACAGAAAATCCCTTTGGATCTTCTCTAATTTGTCAGCCACTTCCTCCGGACCTCATAGTTTTCTTTAACTTTTCTGCTACCACCCTTGGAATTGGAAAGATAGATAGATAATAAGCTGGAAGGCAGGACACTCTGAATTAGAGTTAATTTACCCCCCTTTGAAAGGTAGTGAGTCTTCCAGGTTGCTAGCATTTTATTGACCCTCTCCACCACTGGATCCCAAATGCTCTTGGAGAAGCATCTAGTGCCTAGGGGTAAACCCAAATACTTAGTTGGGACTTTTCCCACTTGACACCCAAGGACCTCTGTCAAAACAATCTCAAACCATCTAAGGAGATATCTCAAATTGAAAGCTTGTTCTAACTTAGCATCCAAAAAGAACAAAGTGTCGTTTGCGAACTGCAGCAAAGCAATCTTGGAACCATTACTTTTCACTTCAAACCCTTCTAATAGACCTCCTTCAATATCTTTCTCACCCATTTGGCTTAAACCCTCCAGAACTAAAAGGAACAAGAGGGGAGAGAGAGGAACCCCTTGTCTTAACCCTCTTGAGCTTTTGAAATTACCTCTTTGGAGCAATTGATTAAAATAGAAAATTTGGGAGTTGACATGCAAACTTTGATCCAATTCCTCCATTTCTGCAACTATTGTGAACCATCCTTTCCTATTCCATCATAGTGTACTCTCATATCTTTTTCTGGAAGCATTCATAGAGCTTTTCCAGCCTTGCTTTTTGACAGAATGAAGGGTGCCGTTGACGAAGCCTTTCATCCACAACACTGCTTTCCAACCAGAAAGACAATAGCTTTCCTCTCCTCCCTGATCTTCAGAGACTGCTTTCCTTGACTCCTGGCCTCTTCGAACAAGAACCTCTTGGTTTCGATCTGTTGTTCCCTTCTCCACGTCGCTACACCTATGTACCTTCTATCCGCTATGTCTTGTCCGACATCCAGTCATCTTGTGCCTCAATCATTCCATACAATTTGAGATAATACTGTAGAAGTTGGGAGAGATGCTCCTAAGCTCCAACACTTCAAGGACAAATGCCCATTCCATACAATTATAAGCTTTGGAGAGATCCACTTTTAAAACAAAATCCCCATATCTGCGCTTTTTCTTCTTAAGGGAATGAAATATTTCAGTTGCAATTACTTTATGTCTAATCCTCATGTTTTCACGATTTAAATTGAATCATAGTTTGCAGAAAGTGATACTCACCTACTTTGTGGAGCCTAGAAGTATCTAACTACCTGAAACTTGTAAACTACCAGCGAACAACAATTGGTCACTTTTGATCCACAACATCAAAATATCATCCTCTCAAAGGACTTTAATCCCTCATTGTGACACCGGGAAAACAGAAACCCTCATCTTCCATAGCATAACTAATTCTAGCATTCCTCATCAAGCAAATTTACATCATCTCCCAACCCATGAAAAACCATTCTACAAATCCATATAATTTAAGGTTATGTTTGGTACCATTGCTACTTCTACCTGCAACGTTTGAGGTTGGTCAATATACAATTTTTATGGCTTAAACCCTCAAGTTGGTAATGTTGTTCATTCATGCATCCTAATAAGATATCTTCTTAAAAATCAATTAAAATTATAAAATCATTATTTTTTGTGTGAGAACTAAGAATTTAAGACTCTAACATGGACTTGTTTGGGCTTGCCTTGAGGGGCATGACACAAAGGTGGCTCGTAGAATTAGGGGTGTAATATGTTTTACATCACATTAGCTACTTGAAGTAATACAATTGAGGAAAAAAAGAGATTGTGGGTTTTACATGCTTGAAAATGTTTTATATGTTTAATTTTATTTTAAAATTATCATTTGAATATGCTTTACATGTTATGTTTATGTATTTTAATTTTAGATAATAGGTTTTTTATTTTTTAAAATGTTTATTTTAAAAATAAGTTTATATTTTTTATTAATATTATGTTTAATATTTGTTTGTTTTTTTTTTTTTTTATTTTTGGCATTTTTTTGAACTTTTGGCATTTTTTTGAATTTCTGACATTTAAAAAAAATTTTTAGCACTTCTTTTTTATTTATTTTTTGCGTCTTGCTTCAAAAAGGCACGTGCCTTGCCTTGTGCTTCGGGCGCAAATTGACCCCTGCCCCTTTTTTGCGCCTTGCGCTTTTAAAACACTGGCCCCATATAGTTGGGACAAGGCTTAGATGATGATGATGATGATGTTTTGTGCAACTTGTGCGTGCCAACTTCTTGCTTTTTGATTCTAATGTTATGAATTGGAACCTGGAAGCCAATTCCATGTTGCCTAGATACACTGGCTTATCAAAAAAAGGTACAGTAAGTTAGCAAGTGATAGCCATGAAGCATCTAGGTTTGTGTTGTAACTATTTATTGATTTACAGTGATACAATCTTCCAAATTATCAAGGTAAACCTAAATCTTATTAGAGTTGTTTTCCTTGCAGAATGCAAGATGTGGTGCAGAGCAAACTCAAACCATTACACGTCAATCACCAACAAGTACAATAACACCAATTCAAGGTAATACAGGATTCGTGAAGTTTGTTCAATGATTCCCATTTTGAGCTATGTCTTAATTTGATTTAATTAAGATCAATGAGTTAAACCAAGTGATTAAAATCTAAATATCTTGTGCCTTTTAAGCTCCTTGACAGAATCTATCAAAGGCAAGTTACCAACTAGCTCAGTTGGTAAGGTCTTTGGTTGCTTGTAGCAGAGACTTGGGATCAATTCCTATCTTCACCCGGGTTGGGCTGTTATGGGGGTAGGGATGGGCTACCCCCATTGTGTAGCCCCAATATAGTAGTATTGAATTAAAAAAAAGATGGAATCCATAAAATGGCAGTCTGTCCTCTCATGCCGCATGCCTTCATTATTATTGGGGGTTTTCCCCTTTTAATCCTATATTTTTTTTTTGATCAGCACAGCAGTTCATTTATTAATTTAAATATTTGAAATTAAGTTACAACGATGCCCAAAATAAGCATTAGGTTACAGCAATGCCCAAAATAAGGATGGTCTATCAGCTCCCTGCTTGGCTAACACATCCACCAACTCTCTTGCCCCTAATTGTTCAACAAGTTTTAATCCTTCCAACAGTGCTTTTGATTCAGCCTGAATTGAGTCACCAAAACCAATTGGTCCTGAGAACAAGGTTATCACTACTACTTGATGGTTTCGTAAAACTCCCCCTATTCCTTCTCTTCCTAGGTTGCCAAATGAACTACCTTCAAAGTTAGCTTTAGTTTATTTAAACTTGGTGGTTTCCACTCCATTATAATTTCTCTATGTGGTTTTGAGAGAGTGCTACTGCTCTCTAATTTCTTAAGAAGTCATCTGTGGGAATACCCTTGAACAGTTCCAAGGTCTTAACCCAATGTACTGATATGATTTTAGTGGCTTCAATCACCTCCTCTAAGAATTTACTTTTTTTTTTTCATTGAAGATCCTCTGATTTCTCTCTTCCCAATAGAACAAACCACGGCTGCACGTACTGCCTTCCACATACATCTTCCCCTTTCTTTTGTCGCCTCAGGAAAGTTGGGTTGAAAAGGCTAACCATGTCTTGTGGGGGAGCCCATTTGCAACCAAAGAGAGAACATAAATAGTCCCAAATACAAGAAATAAATGAGCAGGAGAGAAGTGAGAAAGGGATTCACTACAAGCCTTGCAAAGAACACACACATGAGGAGAAATGCACGTGTTTGGCCTTTTTGTAGCATGTCACAGGTGTTTACCTTCCCTAGGAACATTTCCCAACTAAGAGCTTGTACTTGAGGAGAATTGGTTTGCACCATATTTCTCTTACAGGAAAGTTTACCCCCACACCATCTGACCGGGCTAGTATGTTGAAGAAAGAAGATCAGGGAAACAAGCCATTTGAAGCTGGATGCCAAACTCTATTATCAAGGCCATTTTGGTCCAGGTAAACTATTTCCAACTTTGACAAAAGGACAAGGAGAGAATCACACTCATTGTCTCTCAAACCCCTTCTAAACTCAAGTCTCAATTTAACCCAGTTTCTAGGGGTATAGCTACCCTTGCTATAGTTAACCTTTAGGTTTGATAAAGAATAAAGGTTAGGGAATTGCAAGCTAAGTGGTTTGTCTCCAAGCCAAAGGTCTTCCAGAATAAGATCTTGTTCCCACATCCAACGTCAAGACGAATGAGGTTAGTAAATAAAGGCAACATTTCAAAGATCGCTTTCCAAGGGGAATTTGAAGCTTGCATTAGCTGCTACTTTTGCACCCCAGCCATTGTTGGCTACACCATGAATCCTCCACAACCATTTTCCTAGTAGAGCTGTATTCCTCTTCACCAAGTTCCCAACCCCTAGCCCTCCTTGCTCCTTGGGTTTGCAAACCTGTTCCCATTTTATTAAATGGTCCCTTTTCTCCTCTCTTGGCTCGCATAAAAAATCCCTCATTATCTTCTCTAGTCTAGCTAATTTTGCCAGGATCCTAAAGGTGGAAAGTAAGTAAGTGGGCAAGATTGCTAAGGTGGACTTAATCAACGTAATCCTTCCCCCCAACGAGATGTAATTTCTCTTCCACATGGCTAACTTCTTATTCAATCTCTCTATGACTGGTTTCCAAAAGCCTTCATGTTTTGGATTACCACCCAATGACAGACTGAGGTACTCTAGTGGCCAACTTTTTACCTCACAGCCAAGTAATTGTGCCATTGATTAGATTTCAGCCTTTTCCATATTAACTCTTGCCACACAACTCTTTCCCCAATTTACCTTTAATTTAGAGGTCCTTTGAAACTCTTCCACTAAAATTTGCAAATTCCTCAGACTCTAATCTCCGACCTCACAAAAAAATGATAATATCATCTGCAAATTGCAAGTGAGTTACCACCACCTCAGATCTTCCAATCTTCCAACCTTTGGTAAGACCTTCTTGATCATCCTTCATGATTTGTCTACTTAGAACCTCAACCACAAATGTAAACAAGGAGAGAGGATATCCTTGCCCTATTCCTCTCTTTGCTGGAAAGAAATCTTTAGCCACTCCATTGATTATAATTGAGAAATTCACCGAACTAATACAACCTTTGATCCACTTTCTCCTAGACCAATTTTCTCCAACAAGCATAAGAGTAATGAACAATCCACCATATCATATGTTTTCTCTAAGTCCAGTTTACAGATTATGCTTTGCCCTCGTTTCATCTTTGTTGCCACACACTCATTTGCAATTAGGATTTGGTCTACTATTTGTCTTCCTGCAACAAAGGCCCCTTGGTTTTGGGAAACTATCAAGGGTAGAGCAGTCTTTAGCCTTCCTGCCAGGACTTTTGCAATGATTTTATAAAGGCTACCAATAAGTCATAGGTCTGTAATCTTTAGGGGTTCTAGCATCTTTCTTCTTGGGTATTTGGGCTAAGAAGGTTGCATTTGCTCTCGGTGAGGTTTTTCCCTTTTGATAAAATTCTGCAAATACAGTCATAAGTCATCCTTTACGATTTCCCGGCAATCCTGATAGAAAGCCATCAAGAAACCATCATGTCCCAGGGCTTTTGACCTTTCCATAGAAGACTGCTTCATGGACCTCATCCTCACTGGAGTCTCTAGGAAAGCAGCTCTATGAACCAGCACCTTGTCCTAATTCAAGTCCTCTAAATTCACAGTCCTTTCTTCTAGGGTGGCAAAAATTGATTTAAAATAATCCACAAAGCACTTTTCAATTTCCTCCTTTGAAGTTATTATCTGATCTTCACTCACAACGCTAGAGTTTTTATTCTTCCTTCTTCCATTTGCCAAAGAATGAAAGAATTTTGAGTTTCCATCTCCATCCAGTAACTACTTACATCTTGATTTTTGCACCCAAGAAATTTCTTCCTTAGAATTTCCTCTAGCTGGACTTCCAAATTCCATCTTTCTGATTGGTCTTCCAAACCATACTCTCTTTGGGCCTCTTTTTGGTCTATTTCCTCTATCCTTTTAGCAGTTTCCTCCTTTTTCTCTTCAAATATCCCAAATTCTTCTCTTTTTTTGGTGTATTTCCCTTTTACTCCTATATTCCTCGTTAACAAAGTTTCATTCTGATGGGTTGGTTACACATTTTTGTTTCAGCATTCTACTTTATAACTCAATTAAAAAAAAAGATGATTTAGGGATTCTTGAAGTTGATTTTCAGATAAATCAATATTGGTGGGTAAAAATTTGATTTGCAGGGATTCATGCGGCTTCATATATGTTTAAGTACCCAATAAAGGCTTTGGCCTTAATCTTGAAGTTTTACCCACTAAATGTGATTAGTTGATAATTCTATTTTTACCATGACTTGTTAATCTTTCCATCCTCCTCATGGTCTAATTTGTTGCTGAATTTCAGGCAAGGAAAAGGCACCTGAGCTTGATGATGGTGGGACTGGATTTCCACCTCGTGATGATGGAGATGGTGGTGGGGGTGGTGGCGGTGGAGGAGGAGGTTGGTCGGGAGGATTCTTCTTTTTTGGTTTTTTGGCATTTCTAGGGTTTTTGAAGGACCAAGAAAGCGAGGGGCCTTACAGGGACGATAGGAGAAAATGAGCGGATAATTTGATGTTTCTTTCCCTGTTGTATCGACATAAACTATTAGATTGTGTTATTGGACCCAAAGAACCTATATGAATTTTCCTACACTTTTTTTTTTTAGGGGTAAAGATATGAAATTTTCCTACTATTCCCTCAAGTATGGTAAATCTAATCGTTCCACCATATCCATTGGTTTGCATTATATATATCATGATATGTATCTTTAAAATTGTCATTAAATACTAAAGATACCGATATTTTGAACCTACTCTTTCTTCAAAAAGCTTATTGAAATGGTTTACAGAACCAGAGGTCTAGTAACTCCCTTTTTTGGGGTAATCAGTAGCTTTCCCTTTATTAAAGTGGCATATCTCACATTGCTTTTCTAAGTGTTCAAACATTGTACGCTTATCTATAATATTTTTCTGCCAATCTTCACAAAAAAATGCATATATTGCTAAAGATATTACATCGAGTTCAATGGTTAAAAACTTAAAATGTCATTTTACAAGGTATACTGAAATATTTCAGAAGGCATGGCATGTTATTCCTAAAATGTTGGCAACCATTGGTATTTGACTAATACATACAAAAACAACAGAATTGTAGGAGATTCTGAACAGGTGATAGATTGGCTGCAAAATGAGAATAGTAAACTATGGAAATTTGCCAATGAAAAAAGAGTTTGATTGGGTAACTTGGGAAATAGATATTCAATTTCATTGGGTGAAGAGATCAAATTCCTTTGCATATACTCTGGGTGGGAAGGGGACATTTGTTTTGGGTAAGTGTTGTAACTGTTTTTTGACTTTCTTGGGGAGGGTTAAGAGCTTTTATCCATGGTTTTCAAAACCTGACCAGACCGAATGGTTAAATCGGAAAAATTGGGAACCGGTCACGTGATCGGTTTTGTTTTACCCCAAAACCATTATTTCCCCCAAAACTGTTGATTTAGTTAGCAAACCGTTGACCCATGTGGTCGAACCGTTCAATGGTTTGGTTAGTTTCTATTTTTCTGTTAGAATGGGCTGTCCTGAATGGTTTGAATGGTTGAACCATTCAGCCCAGGAACCAGACCCTTGACTGGTTCATTTGTTTTGGGTAGTGCTGTAAATGTTTTTTGACTTTCTTGGGGAGGGTTAAGAGCTTTTATCCATGGTTTTGAAAACTGTACCAGACCGAATGGTTAAACCGGAAAAACTGAGAACTGGTCACGTGATAGATTTTGTTTTACCCCAAAACCATTATTTTCCCCAAAACCGTTGATTTAGTCAGTAAACCGCTGACTCGGGTGGTCGAACTGTTCAATGGTTTGGCCGGTTTCTATTTTTTTGTTAGAACGGGCTGTCCTGAATGGTTTGAATGGTCAGACCATTCAGCCTGAGAACTAGACCCTTGACCGGTTCATTGTCCGGGTCGATTTTAAAAACCTTACCTTTATCTCTCCCATTGTTTCCTTTGTAATCTATATTTCTATCTTTAATAAAATATTCTGTTATTGATAAAAGAATGCCCCTTCTAGCACACTAAACCCATGGGTAAAAGTGATACTAGAGGAAAAAGTGTATAGTGCAAAAAACCTTTTTTTTGATAAATGAATTGTATTTACCCAGATAAACATGTTCCTCGCAAAAGAATGAGGGCTAAATTTAGGAATCCAATTGTTTGGGTTATGGTTGAGCTGGCCCCGGATGTCATCTTATCTCTTTGGCCACGTCGGCACCACGTCAGATGGATAAGTGTAATTAGGGCAGGAGAACGTTGTACGAATAAGGAGGACAGCTCCGGAAGCCTCATCAGAGCATGACACGGATCTGAAGGGATGAGAGATCCATCATATGGATGGCCGAACCCTACAGGAAGGTTGGGCGAAATTTCAAAAATTTCACTCTCTCCCATCTGGGAATCACATTCCCTATTTTAAAAAGTTGCATTTTCAAGGATCAATCTTGAACCATACCGGACCATATCTGAAACCAAAAAGGGAGGAGAGGGATATACCTGATACAAATTAGCAGTAACTCCCAATGAAGGTGTTCACGCCCAAGGAGATAACCAAAACCCGCTTCCACTGAAGATGACACAGTGTGTGGTGAAGCAGGATCAACATGACGACTCTTCAGCAAGAACTGAATTCTTCAGCAAGAATGGAGTAGAGGGATGGTGAGCACGACTTCAGATTGCTTCTTCTACCGAGAAGCAATATCAAGAACAATTTTTGATCACTCCCATAAGTGGAGATCGAACTGGGTAGGGGCGACAAGAACATGGAAGAACTCTGCAGATTGCTGTCTTGTATCTGGTGTATTTTTCATGTCCGCCCTGCTCTCTTATTTATAGCCTTAAAGAGACAACCTCCTAATCTGATTAGGAGTTTCCTGATCCAAATCTTTATTTGGATCTGGACTCTTTAAGTGATAAGGATAATTCCTTATCTTATCTGYAGTTCAAGATCAGCTTAATCCTAATCAAATTAGGAGTTTYCTGATCCAAATCTTTATTTGGATMTRGACTCTTTAAGTGGATAAGACTTATCCTCTTATCCTTATCTGTTGATCCAAACCCAGATTTTCCCCATATTTAATTAATCTAATTAACCCAGTTCGAAATTGGGCTTTAGTCCCAATTAAGTTTATGTGCTCACTTAACCTCTTAACCTGCTGCCCAGTTGGCTCTCTTTGTATGGCGTGGGACCCAAACATTGATCTACACATCAGCCACATGGGTCAGTCCAACCTTTGTTACAAGGCCTGGCCAAATTCACTGTAGGAGACAATGAACCTCTAAGTCCATCACTATGGGCTCTCAATGGGCCCAACATTTACACTAAATGGTCATTGGGTCTAGCCACCTTATGAAAACCCAAGGACTGTGGGCAGATGCAAAACTAGCCCATCAGGTATTACCCTCAATGGTTTTACACTTAACCTCTCAGCCCATAATGATCAAACACTGCCTGACAAGAGAGGACCTCT